GGAATCCGATAGAATCCGATGGAATCCGATGGAATCCAATGGAATCCGATGGAATCCGATGGAATCCATTGGAATCCAATGGAATCCTTGGAATCCGAAAGAATCACAGGGAATCTTTGGAATCCAGAGGAATTCAAGATTCCAGGATTCCGTTTTTTCCCCCTTGGGCTGCTCACATAGTGCTATAGGTCGAAAAACCAGTAAAATGGTCATAACTCCATTACAAAGCAATAAGGGGGTGAATCAAGTTAGAGTATTTCACTACTCACTAGGGTCTACAAGATAAAAGTAGTCTGAATCGAAAAGCTTTTTATCACCTCGAGACGTTTCCTCGTCAGACCAACACTCATATCCACCCCCACAACTGATAGCAATCAAGAATTTTCATTATGGTAATATTTTGAAATGTTTATTTAGCCAATAAATAAAAGTGGAACATTTATTGGATTCGTTGATATTCGTCATCTACACACAAGGTCGAGTGCACATCAACTTCATTAAGTTGTATAAATGTTAATGAAGTGAAACAGTGCTAATTGTGTACTGAAATTAACATTCTAACTAAAAACAGTAATCGATCAAACTCTTAAAAATGAATCGGTGCGCATTTTAGTCTTGAAAGGTTTTTGTTAATAAATGATAGTTTTCAAGCAGCTTGAGCATCCACGAACGCATCTTGCTCTTTCGGTTCAATAAATAATTCAACTTCTTCGTCATACCGTTGTTTCAAGCGTTAAAATTGCCTAATTTTATTCATCTCGTGATCACTATAATAATAAATGACTTCAGTGATTATGGATTTACATCGTGTAGAAATCTTTTTTGTAAAAGAAATATAGTTTTAATATTGCTATTCTGAGTTGGACCAGGCTAGGCAGGCACTATAAACTGGTTGGACGGTCCGAGCCGGACCAGGCCATCAAAAAGTTGCCCGATTTCAAGACCTGATGGATACTGAAACTAAAATAATTATCTTTGTCTCTATCTCATTGAGCATCCGACAAGAACCTCGTTAGTAACTAAACGGATTGCAATATAACACTAAGATGTTTTAAATTTATAGATAATAGTAGAGAAGAACATTTAACTGTAACTAACACAATTTTAGCTGAGTCCAATTTTCATTCATATTCTACGAAGACTGAGAAAAAAACCTAATATCTTAAAAATATTTTCTCTAGTTGTTAGAAGTCTCAGTCGTCACTCAGCACGAGCTGCTGGAAGTTCTTCTGCAAGTACAGGAACATCTACTCCAAGTAAAAGAACTATTGGAGGAAGAGAAAAAAATGTTGACGATAAACCTAGTTTAAAACAACAATTTACATTGACAAATTCATCATCAACATTAGATATGCAAGGTAATTTTCAAGTTTAATAAATGATGAAATTAAAATTTGAAAATTTCAGAAGAATCATTATCTGATTTGTCAACTCGTGAATTAAATGTAAACGAAATAGTAGCTATAACGAATATTCAAAAAAGTATTCGAGGTTTTTTACAACGTCGTATTACGTTTGCTCGTACATCTGGTACAGAAAAAAATTTATTTATTCAACAAATATTACAATCGAACATGTCTTTACTTAAAGCTGATCAAAATAAATCAGCTTTACTTCTTTTTAAGTAAATTTTTTCATTTGTATTTTGATTCTGTTTTGAATTTTCTCATCAAAGAAATTTCATATCAATCAAACCAGAATTAAGTCAATGTTTTACATTTGATAATGATAATTGGAATATGATCACATATCGAGATTATAATGGAATATATCAAGAACAACCAGCTAATAATTGGTTTGTTTTATTTCGGTACAGAAAAATCCGTTCATTTGTTTTATTTTAAAATTAAAAAAAAACATAATAATGTGATGTTTTAGAGAAATTTTTTATATTAATGAAGAAAGTATAATCGCTGCTAAATTTCTTTCACATTTATCAAATACACTTTTACAT